TGGGAAAATTGACATATTAATGCATTGTTGGTGGAGTTGTGAACTGATTCAACCATTCTGTAGAACAATTTGGAACTATGCCCAAATGGCTATAAAACCATGCATACCCTTTGACCTAGCGATATCAATACTAGTTCAGTAACCCAAGAGAGATAAAAAAACAAAAAGGAAAAAGACTTATATGTATAAGAATAGTTATAGCAGTTCTTTTCTGGTGACAAAGAATTTGAAATTGAGGGGATGCCCATCAATTCGGGAATGGTTGATCAAGTTGTGGTATACAATTGTGATGGAATGCTATTGTTCTATAAAAAAAATAATGAGCTAGACGCTCTCAGAAAAACCTGGAAAGACTTACATGAACTGATGCAAAGTGAAATGAATAGAACCAGGAGAACATTGTACACATAACAGCAATATTGTAAGATGATCAGCTGTGAATGCCTTGGCCATTCTCAGCAATATAATGATCCAAGACAATTCTGAAGGACTTATGAAGAAAAATGCTATCCATCCCCAGAGAAATAACTAATGGTGTCCGAATACAGATTGAAGCATAATTTTTTTTTTACTTTCTTTTTCTTGTTTTTTTTTTTCTGGCGTATGTTTTCTTTTACAACACGACTAATATAGAAATATGTTTTGCATGACTACATATGTATAATCTATATCAAAAACTGCTTGCCTTCTCAATGAGGGGAGTCAAGAGAGAGGAGGGGAGAGAATTTGGAACTCAAAATTTTAAAAACAAAAGTTAAAATTGTTTTTACATTTAATTGGGGAAAAATAAAATACTAAGTAAATATTTTTTTAAAAAAAGAAAACCTCTGAGATTTCTTAAAAACAGAAAGAAAAGTAGAAGTCGAAGGAATCCACTAGTCATGTCCTGAACAGGACTCCCAAAAGAAAACTCCTAGGAACATTCGAGCCAAAATACTGACCTTCCAGGTCAAAGAAAAACACTGTAAGCAGTTAGAAAGAAAAAAAATCAAATATTCAGGAACTACAGTCAGAATCATATTTTTATAATGGAACAGAGAGTTTGGAACATGATATTCCAAAAAGCAAAGCATACAGCCTTAAGCCAAGAATAATTTACCCAGCAAAACAATATCATTGTACTACATGAATTTTTAATGAAGTAGATTTCCAAGCATTCCTGATCAAAAGACAAGAGCTATATAGAAACTTTGAGAAACATAAAAATATAAACATAAACAAGCAATAATAAAAAGTATATATATAAACAATGACATGAAGTATTATAGAATAATTTTACATATATACCTATTTGTGTGTAATGGTAGCCATCTCTGAGGGGGGGAGAGAAGAAAAAAGAGGGAGGAAATTTACATTACTTTGTTGTGTATAAAAAAGGAATAACGAATTTGAGGTTTTGTGTGCAATCATCTTTTTTACTGTACCATGTTATGGAAATGTTTGTTTTGTTCCATAAATTAAAAATAAATAAATAAATGGAAAAAATGATAAAAGACTAAACAATGGTAAATTGCTTACATTCTCATATGGGAATACATATATATACATATATACTCTCTGAACACTAAGATCATCAAGTATCATATAGGAAATCTAACAGAAGGCTGGGAGTGGTTCTGTTATATCTTGACAATCTTGAAAAGAAGAATGGAGAAGATAGGAAGAGAAATACACTGGGGTTAGGAAAAGGAAAAAGGTTAGGGGAAAGTATCTCATATAATCAGGGTTTACAAGTAGACGTGTATACAAACAAGGAGGATGGGGTGCAGGGAGCAGCTGGCACAAACCTTGCTCTCATTAGAATTGGTCAAAGGAAGGAAGAACAACCTTCTTTGTGGGGGGCTACACACATACACACACACACACACACACACACACACACAAATAAATTTCATTCAGGGCAGCTAGGTGGCACAGTGGATAGGGCACCAACTCTGGAGTCAGGAGGTGCTGAGTTCAACTACAGCCTCAGACACTTACTAGCTGTGTGACCCTAGGCAAGTCACTTAACGCTAATTGCCTCACCAAAAATAAATAAATAAATAGATTTCATTCAACAGGGAAATAAGAGGAAAAGGGAGAAAGAGGAATTAGAGAGAGCACAGATTAAGGGAGGGATTGATTCTAAACAAAACAATTTCTAAGGATGTATGAAAATATTTGTAGCTCTTTTGAGGTAGCAAAGTATGGAGATTTGAAGGAATGTTCATAAATTGGGGAATGGCTGAACAAATACGATATATAAATATGATGGAATACTACTGTGATGTAAAACATGATGAAGAAGAAGACTCTTGAAAAAAATCTGGGAAGACTTGTATGAATTGATGCAGTGAAGTAAACAGAACGAAGAGAACAATTTATACAACATTTATGTAAATGTTAAAGACGAACAACTTTGAAAGAATTCAGAACTCTAATTAGTGTAATGACCAAACATGATTCTAAAGGATTAATGATAAAACATGCTAACCAAAAGAATAGTAAAGGACTCAATGCAGAATGAGATATATTAGATAGAGATAAGGGGAGGGAGAGAGAGAGAGAGAGAGAGAGAGAGAGAGAGAGAGAGAGAGAGAGAGAGAGACATGGCTAATTTTGACATTTGTTTCTCTAGACATGTTTGTAACAAGAGTTTTGTTTTTTCTTCATTCTTAAGGGAGGAGGGAAGAAGAAAAGATGGAGTTTTGCTGATTGAAAAAATATATAAGTAGGAAAAAACATCCCCAAGAAAACAAAACAAAAATACCTTTCTCCCCCCTGTGTGGTTGTATTGGGGCAAGTGTGGACATCAAAAGAGCAATTATGAGAGAAAGAATCAACATTTTTTAGCTCTCATTTAAGTCAAGGCAATATCAATGTCCTTTAAAGTCAGCTAATTATTTTGATTGTCTTCATATTGAAAGGTACTTCTAAGTCAAAATTTTCGATTGGTTGGGACTTGCCTAAGTCCTCTGTCTACTTAAAACAATCTTTATGATTTTTCTGGGTCTCTTTAGATATGATGCTGAATAAAATTTTGTATCAGACAGGAGAAGGAAAAGATGAATGCTAGATGATATTACCACTTCTACCATGAGATAATTGCTTCAAGAATCTGGATCACTGAAATTGAATACACATAATAAGCTAACATCTGAGAGAGACTGAATTATTCAAACTATTCTTTCCATTAAAGTTTTATTTTTAATTGTATTCAAAAATTTTTAAATTTAATTGTATTTTTAAATGATATAATAGTAGAACTAAGCATGAAACAGGGTACATTTGTGTTTTCTACTTTTGCATGAATCCAGATCTAGGACATTTCAATGACTGACATTCCAGGTAACTTCTTAAAAGTCATTAATGACTTAAAAATCATTAAAATGTTAATGCAAAACTAGTCTATAACATATTTTCTCCCTTTAATCTTGTAATCATGCTAAAGTTGGGATAGTATAGCACAAACTAAATATTGAAAGAAAATGAAATATTAACTGTGGTAAACATTTATTTTCTAGAAATGGAAAAAGTCTATGAAGTGTAACTAGCTGCTGAATCATACTAGGTGCTGGGGGTTAGGGTTACAGTGAGAGTCACATAAAAATTCCCATTCTGTAGTTCAAACCTTCCTTCAGTTACTGGGAAATGCTTAGCTGTACTATTATATCTGCATAGGAATTTCTGTTCTGTGGAGTAACTACATAAGTAGAGCTCCCTTTGATACATTTAGTCAATTTCTGGAAAGGGCAAAAAATGGAAGTGTGAAGACACCAGCAGAATATTAGTTTTATCTCATAGATGAAACCTTTTGCAGATACTCTGCTGCCTTATGAAAGGACAAAATGAGAAGTACCATTTTCCCTTTTTAGCTGGGACTTTTGCTATTCTGGATTTTGATTTCAGTTCTATATACAGGACTATATGTATGCCCCATGGGCAAACAAAAAGTGTTTATTTGCTGGAGTCAGAACAGTACAACTTTGCTTGTCAGGGAAGGAGAAGCTGCTGCTGATTAAGGGGAGTAATTGCTAAGATTGGTTAAGAAGGTAAGATTAATAAGGGAAAATAAGTCCCTCATTTATTTATGAAACCAGTAAGTTTTCTGAATGCAGAAATTTTGCCCTTGAGATGCCTGTGTTCACAGGCTAGCAGATTTTTAGGGTTGAGGAAATGTGATACTTTCCCTCTTATTCTCCATCTCCTCCAGCCCCAATCATTATCCCTCCTTGATTCTTTAGCCCGCTGATTCAATTCACAATATTTTCTGCTCCTTCCCTTTTCATTCAAACCTGTAATAGTGGCATACAGTAAAAATTCCAGGGACTTGTACACACAGGTTTGGGGAACAAGTGGGAAACTTGTAGCGATTGATTTTTCTTAATTTCTGTCAGTTCTCTAAGCCAAGGGTGAGAAGGGCATAGCAAAGGATCATATGCAATTTGATATCCCCAGTAAACTCATTTTCAACACTACAGAACCTAACCTGGAAATCAAAACTAGTCATTCACGGTTGTACCGCATTTCAAGATCACTAATGGCCTCGCTCTGACTCTTAAAAACTAGACAGGCAAGAGTCTGGATATTCCCAGGGCCCGGACCTCTGGAAAGTGAACAACCACTGACATTTTAGGCAGCTGCTGTTGCTGCAGACTAGAATTAATAGTTCTAGGCACACACGCGGGCAAAGCTTCACCGTGGTCACCCACTTTAACATCTCTGACTCTGGGGGCACATGCACCTTGGGAGGAAGAAAAACCCAGAATTACGTCTGCCAGACCACCCGCGGCCCACACAAAAATCCCTTCCCAGCCAAACCTCCCCTGCAACAATTAAACTCTTCTGTGAAGGAAGGTTGCTACGTGGATAATCCTCTTTTCAGGAGTTCTAAGACTTTTTTCCTCCTCGTTACACACTAATCCTGCGAATTCTGTTCCACACACCTTCCCACGTCCCATTCTGCGACCAGCTATATGTCATAAGGGTCCCGGGGCGCTTTCTTCTCCGCTTCCACTTACCAAACCTGATTACTTGCTGGGCAGTCCTGGAGATGCATACGTCTAGCGAGCAAATGAAACAGAAGAGTCTCCAGTGAACAAACTTGCTCCTGAGTCTGGAGCTGACAATAAGTGTGACGGTCTCCATCTTTTTGTCTTCTTAACGTTGCCACTTCCCAGAGCTCAGAAGCTGGTCCTTACTCCAACTCGATCCCTTCTCATTCTCCTAGGGGGTTTCCTTCACTGTGCCCTGCTTATCTGTCTCCATAGCAGGAAAGAGTGATAAATATAGAATTGCAGGTGAGAAAGTGGCAGGCAGTTGCTTGTTATGTTCTGGAATTGTCACTTTTCTTTATGCCATCACCACCTCTTCCATCAGGAGCAGATTTAGAAGAATCGAAGCTCTTTTTGAACCTGAGGGTAAAGAATTTTGGTGGTGAAAGTTATTGCCCTAAATAGCTGAAATGTCTCCGTCATCTGTTCTTTGGTCAAATGCCAAAGTGGGAAAAGTGGAGAGAGAAAGGGGATAAACCAGGGTAGAGAAAAGCAGAAAAAAGCAAGAGAATAGACATACTATATAAATTTTTGCAGAGGTTCTGAACAGTTAAGAAGTAGGATTTCCAGCAGATTAAATGGGATTAGAGCTACCCTTGCCTCTTTCATTCCTTCTCCCTGCCTCACCCTTTCTTTACTCTATGCTGTTCCTGCTCTCAAAACATCCTCTACGCCCACAGTAGGATGGAAATCTAATTAAATCTCTGTCTCCTAATGATAAAAGCAAATCTCATCGCAGTAGTCCCCAAAGTGGAGGCAGCTCATATAGAACAGGTCGAAAAGAAGAACCTCCTTGTAAATACCCCAGTGCACTCTCTCATTCTCCTCAAGGACTTCCCACTTTTCCTTTCCCCTCCTTCCTCCTCTTCCTTCTTTCTCTTCCTCATCATCTCTCCCTCCTCCTCCTTCCCATTCTTTCTCCTTTCCCTTTCTCCTCTTTTCTTCTCTTCTCTCTTCCTCATCTGCTCTCCTTTCTCTTCTCTCCTCCGTCTTCCTTATCTTCCTCTCTCCCTCCTGCTCTTCCTGCTCCTGTTGCTCCCCTTCCTCCTCTTCTCTTTTTGAGATGTTTTCTCTATTGCCACCAATGTCACCAAGAATCACGAGCTAGAGTTTAACTTCAACAAATTCCCATAGTCTATATCTCCCTTTCAGAGAGAAATAAGCCCACTTAAACAGAGACTTTGGGCTGGTTCCTGGGGCTATTGCAGCTATTGTGGCCATAGGCTGTCCTCTGGCACACTCCTTGGCTTAGTCCCACCTGCCCATTTGCAGGGCTGATGGTTCAAATTTTATATGTATGTGTGTATATATGTTTGCATAATGAAGTTTTACTGATATGCTGTATTACATTACATGTACAGATTACTTCCACTTGCCAGAGATCTCTTACAGCAACATAAAACAGTTAAGTAAGATAATAGCGACCTTATCTGAAAGTGCATCCAAAATTTCATAGCTGTGGCACCCCTAACTCTACTCTTTTTTTAATTAATAGAAACCTACTTTCTCTCTCATCCCACTAATCCCACTGACAAAAAGAAAAAGCAATTTCTTAAACAAATATGCATAATGAAGTAAAACAAATTCAAAACAAATCCTTCCATTGGTTGAACATAAAAATAGATATGTCTCATTTTAAATCCTAAATCCATCTACCAATTACCTCTCTGTTACGGATTATATATTTCATCATCAGTCTTCTGGAATCATAAATGGTCAACATATTGATCATAGTTCTTACAGCTTACAAAGTTGTTTGTTTTTATAGTGTTGTATTCTGGTTTAATTCAATTCATTCTTCATCAGTTTATAAAAGCGCTTTAAATTTTTCATTTTTATAATATTTGCATTATAGTATAAATTCTTTTGGTTCTGTTTACTTAACTCAGCATCATTTTGTCTAAGTGTTTTCATGTTTTATTGAAATCATTTATTTCTTCATTTCTTACAGCACAAGAGCACTCCATTACATTCATATGCCACATTTTATTCAGCCATTCATAAACTGTTGGGTATCCTCTTACTTTCCAGTTGTTGTTCTTTTTTCCCTAGCACAAAAAGAACTGTTACAAACATTCATGTACATAAAGGACATTTTCGTTTTTCTTTGATCTCCTTTGGATGCAGGCTTAGCTATGATACAGTTTAGTAAATTTTTGTGTATAATTCCAAATTATTTTCCTGAATGGTTGTACCCATTCACAAGACCACCAACAATATATCAATGCACCTATTTTCCAACTTTTATAATTTTCCTTTCTTGTCTTTGCCACTTTGATGGATGTGAGGTGAAATCTTGGATTTGCTTTACTTTGCATTTCTCTAGTTAGCAGTGATTTGAAGCTTTTTTTTTTGCTATAAATAACCTGAATTTCTTTCTTTTTCAACTGTCCATATCCTTACACTATTTATCAATTAGGAAATGGCTCTTTTTCTTACAAATTTGAAAGAATTCCTTATATGACTTCAAAGTGAGATCTTTATCAGAGAAACTTGCGGCTAATTTTTTCCAATTGTTGCTTTTTTAATTTTAGCTTTATTATAGTCATGCAAAAACTTTAATTTTATGTAACCAAATTTTTCATTTTATCTTTTGTAATCACCACTATTTCTTATTTAATCATGAACTTTTCTTCTTTCCATAGATCTGATATATATTTTCCCCATGTTTCTTTATTTGTTTCTGATGTGACCTTTTATATATAGATCATGTATCTATTTGGAAATTATCTTGTATAAAGTGTGAGGTGTTGATCTAAACCTAATTTCTTCCATACTGTTGTCTAATTTTCCTAGCAGTTTTTGTCAAATGAGTCATCCCAATAGCTGGAATTTTTGTGTTTATCAAATACTAGAATATTACATATGTTTGCTTCTGTATGTTGCATACCTAATCTGTTCCACAAATCAATTTCTCTATTTTTTAAATAATACCAAATTATTTTAGTGATAACTGCTTTGTACTATGGTTTGAAATCTAGCAAGGCTAGGCTCTCTCCATTCTCATTTTTTTTCATTATGCTTTTGAGGTTATTGACCTTTTTCCTTCCTCCATACACATTTTGTTATTTTCTCCTAATTCTGAAAAGTAATTCATTGATAGCTTACTTGGTTTTTACATTTACGTTGAATGAGCAAATTAATTTATGGAGAATTACCATTTTTATCATATTGGCTCATTCTACCCATGAGTAATTAATATTTTTAAATTATTTAGACACTGTATTTCTGCAATCAGTTGTTTGTAGATATGTTTATATACTTCTGGTATATAACTTGTTAATTTAGAATCCCAGGTATTTTATAAATTCTGTAGTAATTTTAAATGACATTTCTCTTTCTGTATCTTCCTGCAGAATTTTATTGATATGATACAGAAATGCTAATAACATTAATTATTAGTTAACTTTTTAGGGTTATGTATGCCATCATATAATCTGCAACAATTGATAAATTTGTATCTCCTTTATTATGGTTATTATTCCCTCACATATTTTTTCTTGTCTTATTTTTATAGCCATAATATCTAGTATTATATCAAATATAAATGTTGGGAAATGGACATCATTGTTACCAATCTGAATTTATTAAAAATTATTCTAATTTATCTTCATTACAAATAATGGCAACATATATTATATATCACTTAAAGGAAAGAGCTATTTATTCATATTTTTCTAGTGTTTAAAAAACTTGTATTCCATCAAAAGCTTTTTTGATATCTATTGATATGATCATTTTTGGTTGATATTGTTTTTAATACATGGCACAGTGCATAATGTGCTGGACTGGAAGTCAGGAATACCTGAATTCAAATTGGTCCTCAGATGCCTACTAACTGTGTGACAGCTTCTTTTTACCTCCATTTCCTCAGCTATAAAATGAGTATTACAATAGCACCTTCTTCACAGGGTTGTTGTGAAGAACAAATGAGATAATATCATAAAACACCAGGCAAACCTTAAAGCACTAGATACTGCTGCTGCTGCTACTACTCCCAGCACTGCCTACCATGATGCCACTGCTGCTAATAGTACAAGTTTTCAGTTTGCCTAATATTAAACAAATCTTGCATTCTTCTTATGAATCCAGAGGAAAAGGGAATAAAAGGGGGATAGTATATATATAGTATATAGTATATAAGGGAAACCAACCTAAAGTTCAGAAAGTGGATAGTGAAAAACAGGTTAAAAGGAAAAAAAGCTAACTTGAAATGAACATGGAGAGGGGAGTGTATTGAAGAAAAAGTATATAGCAAAAGAGGAATAAAAAATATTATCTATCATAACTGTGAAGGTGAATGAGATGAACTCACCCATAAAATAGAAGAGGTTAGCAGAATTAATTAGAAAGCAAAATTTTAAATGTTATTTCTAAGAAACACAAGAGAAACACAAAAACTCACACAGAATTAAAATAAGGGGTTGGATCAAAATCTGTTATGTTCCAGCTGAAAAAAAAATAGCAATTATGACTTCAGACAAGGCAACAGGAAACATGCCTTAATTTTAAAAAGAAAGAAATACATTTTCTGAAAGGTTAACTAGACAATGAATTGATTTCGGCACTCAACCTATGTGTCCAATGGCATAGCTTCTAATACTTAAAGGAAAAACTAAATTACAAGGAGAAATAGGCAATAAGGTTAAAATAATGAGTGACTTCAATTTATTTCCTATCAGCCCTAGATAATTCTCATTGAAGAGTAAGCAAGAAAAAATTTAAGGACCTGAATAGAATATTATAAGAATAAGATGTGATAGACCTCAAGTGATTGTTGAATGGAAATAGAAATTTGTATTCCTATTTCCCAGCTTTGCATCACCTTTATAAAAATCAATCATGTGTTAGGACATAAAAATATCACAAACACATGCAGAAATATAATACACATCCTTTACTCATTGCGATATAATAAAAATATGATGCAAAAAAGTCACTGACAAAAGTTTTAAAAATCAGTTACTTAATCTTAAAGAATTATTGGGTCAAAGAACAAATCATAGAAATGATAAATACTTTCATTAAAGATGACAACAAGAGACAACATCACAAATTTTTAGGATGAAACCAAAGTAGTCCTTAGGGGAAATTTGCATCTCTAAACTTTGTAATTAGCAAACAAGAGAAAGTACAGATAAAAATAGAAAATTCTACTAAAAGCACTAGAAAACCAGCAAATTAAAACTCCCAATTAAAACCAAAGTAAAAATCTTGAAATTAGAGAAATTAACAATATTGAAAACAAAAATCAAATTAATAAACTACTAGCATTTTTCCAAAAGTCAATAAAATAGATAAGCCACTAAAGTTGATTAAAAAGAAGAAAAAGGAAAATGAAATTACCAGTATCAAAAATAGAAAGAAAAAAAGGGAGAATTCACAACACTGAAGAGCTAAAAAATACTGTGAGAAACTATTTTGGCTGACTATATGCTAACAAAATCAATAACTTAAATGAAATCAATGAATATTTACAAAATATAAAATACATAAATTAATAGAACAAAAAATAAAGAACTTAACCCAATTTCAGAGGTAGAAATTAAACAAGCCATACATGAACACCCAAAGAAAAAACTCCAGGGTCAGGTTCACAAAGTGAATTCTATCAAACATTCAAATTATCAAATTATATTAAATTATCAAATATCATATTAATTGTTTGCATAAAGATCAAAAGAAGAGATTCTTCTATGCACAGATATAGTCTTACTATATAAACCAAGTGAATTTGTGCCCATGCTTTGTTTTTATTTGACATTCTACTTGTAGATGTTTTGGAGTCATTTTCTTCTTCAGAATTTGTGTCATGAGCATCCTTT